AGATGATTATAATATTGGAATTACCTTCAGATCACTGGAGGTGTTTAAGGCTGTGCTGAAAGCAAAAACAGGAGCCATGTTTACACTGCATCTTAAAAACGCCTGTGGTTTTTATGGTTTACAATTCAAGACGGTTTGCTCCTTTGCACCACAAAGATGCTTTCTGCACTTCTTTTCATTATACTTTTTCATGCTCAGATATCAGAAATTACAGTGATTGGACCCAAAAGTATGTCGATGCTATCTGTCATAGGTGCATGAATCTTTTATTCCCCGTAAAAAAGTCCTTCATGTAGTGAAACCACTGTCACCCTCACTGAATTGAATCTTATTGTCATCACCGTCCTTGTCATCAGCTGAACAGGGCCTGATACTTCACACACTGTCACAGCAGAGGATTTCTATAGATAGCTCAGAATAGGACAACAGCATTAACGAGGGCTGCTGTTATTCCCACAGTACAGAACGGCTCTTGCCTGTATTCCCACACTGTACCGTGCAGACAATGAACATTCCTCTCTATTGTTGGCCTGTTAGGATGATCCACTGCTGGTTGATTTACTGCACACCGCGCTGCCTTCTGCTGCAGCTCAGTGCCATGTCCGTGGTGACATCACACACGCAACTTGCCATATAAAGGGATGTGATGGAGGGAGTACGTCACTGTGCAATTCGTGACTCAATCATTGCAGCAAGCAGGCTTCTGCGCAGAATTACAAGCATCACGATCCCATGATGTCCCATCCTGCCACTTTATGCCTGAGCCTGACAAGTGTGTCTGAATGCACCATGCACACCAGCTGCACGTTTAGCTATAGGACACAGTTAACTCTCATCTTCCCTTTTTTGTGCTTCTTCTAATTCCCATTGTTCCCTTTTCGCATTTTGTCTCTCCCCTCTCTGTCTCTGTCTGTGTCACTGAGGATGCAATGCAAATCTAAGATCAGCAGAGTGTGTCATGGCAGAGCTGTGGAGGGCTCAGAGGTATCTGCAGAGAGGCTATTACAGTAACAGTGGCAGCTGGAGCAATGGGGGAATAATGCACAGTGCACCAACTCTCTGTTGTACGTAGGGAAGGTTTAGGGCCAACAGTGTTGATGCAGATGCTGATGGAGCGGAGTGTCGATGTTAGCTTGCTAGCTGCTATAGACATTTCTCTGTTTGGACAGGAAGGACATACAAGGCTAAACGGGAGCAGGGAAATGTGATACTTGTGTCAAGATGAGTTAGAGCTCGTCAAAGGGCAGTTTGTTAATGTTTGTTGTAGTTGCTATGCGCATGTTCTGGGTGCATGTGTGTGTGTTCAGGGTGTAAGATTTCAAGACAACATCCCAAAGGGGACATTAGCCTGAGGCCCTGAGGACATGCTGAGAGCCAAAGTGAAGCCTTTCTTTGGCAGCAGCCAGTGCAGCACACATAAAACACACACACAGCTACAAACGCAGAGGCATGCACATGTGAACACGTGCACCCATACACGTAACTCCGACCCTCTATCATCATGGAGTCACTATAAAGAGATGTTTCTCATGCTCATCACACACTCGCCCATCCCCCACTCTACATTTGCTCCCATCCAAGTCACGCCGCCTGTCCCCTACTCCAGCATATAATTTCTGCTGCCGCTTCACTTTGGATTTGTGAATGAAGCGCTGCTCAGTTAGTGTCCGGGAGCAAATCATGAATAATGCAGCAACCCTCATGCGTTCCTCCAGCCGCGTCTGAATCACTAGTGAGGCTGTGTTTGGATGCTGAGGTGATTGGAGGCATTTGTTTTGATGTGAAGCAGGAAGGAGAGGTCACTTGTGTGAGCTAGCAGCATCACAGAGACTTCCTCTAGGTCTTTGTTGTAAATAAGGATGTGTTCATTAAAGTGCACATCCATTAATCTTGTTTTTGTTGTCTGCATGTTTCCACTACAATGCTGAAATGTTTTTTTGCACTCCATTTGCAAGAAATCACTCTGATAATAATGACAAACATTCCCTATACCAGGTATTTACAAAGGCTAATCTAAAAAGAAACTTTTAATAATGCTATTGAGTGAATCAGTATTCTTTTTGTTTGAAAAGCTGCATTAAAGGCTAAAGGGGAGAAAGTAAACTCCAAAACAAAGTTACAGTAGCAGTCATCACTTCTTGCCTACTCCACAATACATGCTGCAGAAACAGGTCACACTGGCATCCTGATAGGCAGACTGATATTGTATAGTGCATAGAGCTACAGTAACATATTCATTCTCAGTGTTAGTAGTGCTAGCAGGGACTCCTTTGATTCAGTTATCTTTAATATGTCTAATAGTTTTAATATGAAACATATATGTGTGAGTATAATATTTAAAGACGATTTAATTGATTGAAGGAGTTGATTGTTTTCTGGCCATTTTGGGGCAGCAAAACAAGCTATAAACACAACACTGACATATTATCCTCTTGTTGTTGTTATGGTGAACAGGTTAGCAAACAGTTGTTTAGTTATCCAGCACACATGGAGCAACATTAGCATTTACGTGGAGTCATGGTTAAGTCCAATGTACTCTCCTTTTAGTTCTCTTTTGCTCTCCACCATCTTCTGAGGGAAAAATCTGTCTCTTTAGCTGGTCTCTAACTTGGTTTGGTACTTGGCAGGTAAAGGGGGTTTTCAGAGCATTTTTGCACTGCAGGGCTGAGGGGAACTGCACAGTTGAGAGAGAATTCTCATCACAACATGCAATCCCTTTCACATATACATTTCATTTGAACAGTAGGTAAAATACAGCTATAGGTACAGCTTTAAAAAAAGTTTAAGTAGTCAATCTCAGCTGAGATTCAATAAAGCATTAAATCTGTAGCATGTGTATCTGTTTGCTGTATGGTATATTTTGGGATTTTTATGTAACTGGACCATGCACCTATGTTATTATGTCATCTCTGCTATCAAGTAAATCTTGCTTTTATGTACCAGTGTTGCTGAAATGCACATTTTGTACCACACTATTGCTCAACTTCTGCCCCTCTGTAACAGCCCATATTTTAGCTGTACAATAGTTCATGAACTATAGACAGCACTCATACATCATTCTGTCTTTCCTTAAGGCTGGCACTTCACTTTAGTAAAATTATTCAGTGTTTGACATAGAAATTCAACACAGAGAACACAAAGCATCTTTTCCACGTGCCTCACCACAGCGCTGATATCTATTGTACTGTGCATTCATTATACTCAGACTAACCCAATGGTCTGTGATCCAGTAGGCAGAGACCAAACCTCCTCTGTGGTTCAGTGAATCAGCCAATCATCATGTGAGGAGTCCTTACCTTGGCCACTGAGCAAGGCTGGCAGCAGTGATTTATGAAGCCCTTTGAAATTTATGGAAAGTTGTCACGTACAAAATTAAAGGGATGCTTCACAGAGCGTTTTCCTCACCAAAATGTCATTATTATTTTGGAGGAAAAGTGGGAGAAATGTAGGAGAAAAGTGGCTTATGAATAATTGATTCTCAACAAAAGAATAAATGCATTAATGCACAGTTAGCCTCATCCAGCCTTTTCATCTACTTCCTGGCTGGTTTCCCTTTTGACATTCGGACAATGATAAAATGATTGATAGCTAATTATAGAAATATGGGGCTCCTGACTGTAACCATACTTGAAAATATCCATCTTAGCAAGTTATTATCACATGATTTACAACATAACTTTTTTACATAAATTTTACTACTTGTAACAAAGAGGACTGATATATTTTATCAAGACCAGGACACATGATTTTAGATGTTTGAAACAAAAGGTATGAAATAGTTCAGTGTTGTGATTTTACTGTACACCCTTGCTAAGTGTGTATTTTAATGTTTAGTAAGTTCTGACATTTTGATGGTTTCACCAGAAGGAAAAAAGTGATAAATGAATGGGCACCTTTCCCTGAGCTTAATAAATTCAGACAGAAGTCAGCCACATTGTTATTGGCTCTCTGCAGTCCTTCATGTCCATTGTACTGTGCATGCAGATACAATCTGTGAAACTCTGAATCATTTATCCGTGCACTACTCTCAGTATACTGTCTGGTTCCTCATCATCCTTCTCCCCCGTGCACACACACACACACACACACACACACATACTTACACTATTAATTTGGAAATACAAACAGGTCATATCCAGGCAGGCTGTGTTGTTAATCTTGTATCTTCCTGTTGTTTATAATGCATTGCAAATGATGATGATTTAAGCACCTATATCAACAAAGTAATCAGCTGCTATCACAGTGAAAATGAAAGATTGCCTATGGCACTAAAAGAGTCAAATATTAGATTAATATTAGATACAACATTGTCTGTGTGAAGTCTGTGCAACCTTCTTAATCAAATTAAATAACCAAAAGAGGAATTTAACTGCATTGTTTTTTAATGTAAATTCCTGTTTTTGTGTAGAGAATGCAGGTTGCAAAGCTACATGTGTTACACCTCATATTTAATTAGGTCAGTTCAAGAAGTATGATTTCCTTACACATACTTCCTGAAAAATCATGTTATAGATAAATATAGAGTCTATTGCAGTGAAACGAGGGAGTGGTGCTGCATCCTGCTGCTCAGTCCCATTTCTCTCTCTCTTTCTGTGTATGTGTGTGTGTGACAGAGACGGAGCAGGCTTTCATCAGGTTTTGACAGGGACTGAAGCCTACGCAGTGCAGGGCAAAGTAAAGTGAAGCTATAGACTACAGACTGAAGGCATCAGCCTCAGCAGAGTTATACAGTGATGTGTTATGAAGCCCTGTGAGGCTAATGCCTGACTGATACCTCACATTTCCGGCACACAGGCAGACACTCTATATGGAAATTTAATTAAGCAAGTATCAACACGCACACACAAACCAAACCTCAGTTCTTTTTCACACATGATTTTTATTGCACTCAGAAATAAGCCAAGTTATATACAATATATTAACCAAATCAGAGAACATCCAGTTCAATGTGAACCAACCACTAAATTCCACTCTTTTGTTCCCCTCTCCTTTATCTACAGGAAACGAAGCCCATCTGCATCCAGGGATCCAAACCAAAAATACGACCAAAGGGAGGGGGGTGACCACTCACAGTATGCCCCGACGGACGGCGGCATGCCCAGATCACCGTCTGACTATGGGGATGGGGACCCTCGGCGGGCTCCGCGGGGCCCACACATGTACCCAGATGTGGATGCGGCACGGATGGGCTACCGGGACCGGCGGGGCCCGGGACGCTGGCACTCCCAGGAATACCCGCTGGACCAGGAGCTAGATGGACCACCCAGCGAGTATGACCTCCAGCGGCAGCGGCAGGAGGAATTCCAGGCGCGCTATCGCAGCGACCCCAACCTGGCACGCTATCCTGTTAAGCCACAGCCGTACGAGGAGCAGATGAGGATGCACGCTGAGGTGGGACGCCTGAGGCACGAACGGCGTCATAGTGATGTCTCCCTGGCCTACACGGAGCAGGATGAGCCAGGCCCCATCCGGCTGTCCCGTCAGCATCTCACCGAGCGCCGGCCGCCTATGGTGGGACAGCGCTCCTACTCCGTCGACCGCTCCTCCCCTGGGCCAATGGGTCCCGGCCTCGGAGGCCACAGAACATCTAACCACAGCCCCCCAACGCCGCACCGTAGCCCTGTGTTGGGTGACCGATCTGGTGACCTGCGGAGAGGTGACCTGGGTGGGGATCCCATGAGGAGGCAGCAACACCACTTGGACCCCAGTTCAGCTGTCCGCAAGACTAAGAGGGAGAAGATGGAGAGCATGTTGAGGAACGACTCTCTCAGCTCGGACCAGTCAGAGTCTGTGCGCCCGCCGCCCCCCAAGCCCCACAAAACCAAAAAGGGAGGAAAGATGCGGCAGGTGTCGCTGAGCAGCTCGGAGGAGGAGCTGGCCACCACACCGGAGTACACCAGCTGTGAGGATGTGGAGATAGAGAGTGAGTCAGTCAGTGAGAAAGGTAGGGGCCACACACACCAACAATCTCACTCAGTCTACTCTCTTTCTGCTACTTTCTCAGTGTTTAACTGTAGTTGTTTAGTGTTACTTAGTATAAATGCACATTTCTCAGTTGCTTTTTCATGCAATTATAAAGCCATCCTTTTCTAGTATTACTCACATAATGCTGTTGTCAGGAAAGACAGATTACATTTAATTATAATGTAATTATTGTTGATATTGATTGTTGCAGCTGTTGACTCAGATATAACCTTCAGATTCCCCAGTCTACAGTCTCTATATGTGCTTTGTATGTTTGTATGTATTTATATGTGTATTTGTATGTGTAGGGCTCATTATTTTCCAGAAAAAAAATCTTTGAATATATCTGTGTTTTTTAGATAGAACCGCTGAAAAAAATGATCGATGCTACAAAAATCTGGGGTTTTTTTCCACATTTTTTTAGATTTACAGTTAAATATTTTTTTCTTTAAAGTGACGTTGGTGCATAATAAGCTGCTCATTTGTATTATCTCTTCATTTTCTGAGCTTAGCACTTCTTGAAAGAACTTCTTTATTATAAACTGTGATGAACAGTGAGTTCTTTTAACAGAAAACACAACAGTGTTTGACGGATGTGGTAACAGTGATTTAAAATGATGTTCTTCTTTTCTAATATCCCAGCATTCTCAGGAAAAATCTTCAGAAACTGAAAACAATGAGCCCTGCGTATGTGCAATGCACTATTGCGTTTTATGTGTGTTATCTATGAATCTACTCTAACAGCTCTCGTGCCTTCGAGGAGGAGGCTTATGCGCTCATGAACCTGTCAGATATGTTTCGGTGTGGCTGGGTGTTTATGTGTGTGACTGAGATTTGAATGGATGTAAAGCTGCTGCTCTCAAGGCCCTCTTCTTTTGCGATTATCTTATGGCATACTTTGCCAGGTCCTACCACAGCTGTTTTACACGATCAGTCTGTTCTAATGGACACTGTTACATAACTAACAGACAGAGGGAAGCAGGGAGAGGGTGTGGGTGTCTAGTGGACCAAGGTGAGCTGAGATAGTAACAATTGCAGTGTATTTTATTCAGTAGTTTTATGTCATCACTGCAGCATATGAATTGGTGGATGTTATTATCAAAAGGCAGCAGAAGAGCAGAGGGTGACTATAGGTTTTCCTGCACTATCTTCCGTTAGCCTTGACTTCTTGACTCCCATTCTGTTTTGTTACCACACTGTGGATGTTACTCCTGGTACAGTCGCCCATTAAATTAAAATTGGATTATGTTTCAGTCCAGTAGGGAAGGGAGCAAAAAATGATGGGTTGGGGTTCTGCGGGGTCTCAAAAGTACAAAATCCAGTAACCTTAATTTTAGGATTTAGGATTTCTTGAAACATCTTAAATATGATTTTGCAATGTATTAAAAATGTATTGTATTAATGAAGTTTACCTTACCTGTATAAAGTGATGGAAAAATGTCCATTGATCAGGCTGTAACAACTACAAAATGAAACTGACATGGAACAAATACCGATTTTCCTCATATTCTTCACACTTAAAAATCTAATATAAATATTGCATTTATAATGGTCTTGAAAGGTCTTAAAATTTCTTAAATGAAACCTGTTGAAACCCGCAGAAACCCTGAAAAAGGGTATGTCATATCTTGATTTATGGACCCCTATACAGAACAGTAGTTCTAGGTTTTTTCACTGCATATTCTGCTGTTGATTTTCTTGTTTCTTGTTGTTTAAACATTCAAATAATAATGTGAATTATGTCTTCACACAGTGGGTCCAGTTTACTGCAGTGTACCTAATTGAGGTGGCATGCTAAGTATTGGCTCAGCCTGGCCTGTCCTGCTGTTTAAATAGAAATGGACATCAGATTGCTCGTGGCAAATGTCCTACCTGCTTGGAGACACAAGCGCACTTGTCCAAGTCTATAAACACGCACTGGCAAGCAAACAGTCAGAGTGACTGAATTAAATGCCACTTTGCATAGAATCAACATCAAAAGCAATTGTTTAGGCTGTTAGCTTCTTGACTGCTCCACCTGGTTGACAGTTGTCGTAATTGCAAATTGATTTTGTTGTCAAACCTGTAATTACGGAAGCCTTTACCTTAGAAATGTTAAAAGTAATAAACACGAAGAAAGGAGGAGGCAGATTTGGCAAATAGAAGAATAAAAGATAGGAAGGAGGAAGGTACAGTAGCACAGTTTGCTTTTGTAAGTAGCACTAGACCAAGTGTCTGCCACATACCCCAAAGACTAGAAAAGAGGGGAGGAATTCGTTGGTCTGCTCTGTTATGTAACTGTTCTCCTCACGAAAGGAAGCAGCCCAGCACCGGCACTACATTATTGATGTGGGAGTTTCCTGGTTTACAGGTAGCCATGGAACAAAAATAGGGAGAAAAGCAGGCTGTTTTGAGGGTCAGAGTTTCTGTTGTTTCTGTCTGCTTCTGTCTGCCTCCTCCACAGGTCAGCCTGTGGAGGAGGCAGAGGAAAAACAAAGCAAAGAGTTGAACTGTTGACCTGAATAAGTATAGCTTTCCATACTAGTTACAGAACATCCTCGGACTGCTGATTATGGTGAGCTATCTTTGGTCGTTATTTAGGTATAATTGGCAGTTTGATTAATTTATTATATAACTAAGGCTACTGTGGCATGGTGCATGCAGGGAGTCTGATAAAAGGTTTAGTAGAATTGAAGCATATATTTTAGACAAGAGTGTCCTTGTTTGCACTTTGTCAAAGTAGACTTGATTATGTAACAGACAGCAGAGAGGGGATCCAAACTCTAGGCCCCAGATTTGGACATGTGACATTCTGGAGTGTATTAATATAATCAATAAAAACCTCATATAATACAGTCAGGTCTGTACTCTGAAATATAATAACAGCCAAGAAAAATCAGTTTTGGCAGTACATAGAGTTTACAAATGGAACAAGTTTAGCATGACTGTGTAAATGCCATAGATGTATTGTAGCTGAACCAGGTTGCACATGTGTTTTAAATGCTCCTAAAAGGACATGGATCATGATTTACATCCATTTTTCACTCTAAAAAGCTGACCCAGTCAAGTCATCTCCCTGCATGTACTATAACATGCAAACCAAGCACTCTTTGATTAGCTACTGAAGAGAGTGTTTTCCCTCACCGGGAGTGAGAACAGGCAAAAAAAACAAAAAAAACAGCTAAGCAAAGAACATCAACTGTAATTGTATGTGAGGCCAGAGATGAAAAAGAGGGCAGAAAGCACCTTTTGGCCATATGTGGCCCATCAGCGTCTTGGGGTTTGTGCACTCAGCTTGACTGGGCCAGGAGATGGGTGTGTAACAGCAGGCCAAGCAGGGTGCATGTCATGCTCTCAAATCGCTAATACCCTGAGGGGGCCGCTGAGGGAGGAGGAGTGCTTGATGGGATGAGAAGGAGGGGAGACCGGGGGGAAAGAGGGAGCGGGGGGAGACTGTAGGAGAGGGAGGGTGTGCCAGCTGTAATGGGCCTGGCTCGTGCCTGCGAGCGCTGGAGACTGATTTATCGCGATGGTCCTCTCCCTGTGTTTTCCTCTTTATCGATTCCCCTGACATGCAGTCTCATAATAGTGCCGAACAGACAGAAAAGGAGAGGCTGGTTGGCTAACTACAGCAGAGAGGTGGACATTGTGAATTGACAGCCTAACTTACATCCTCATTAATGGCTTTTGGGATCAGTTTTTGCACCTCAGTAAGGGTTTGCTCTCAAGTGTCCGCTCTCAAGCTAGATATTAGAAAAATCTTCTTATTAATTTGACCTTTAATACCTTTTAATAAGTACTGTGTGCTTAATAATAGAATTGTTTTAGAATATAAGTTTAAGTTTTAAGATCTGCCTCCCCCAGAGGTTTAACATGACACTGTATCACCTTCCTAGCATGGTGACTATGTTTAAACATACACAGTTTCACTCCTGCCTCTTTTCTGCTCTCGCCCCTTGAATTGTAGTAAAAACAGCATCAATAATTAATGATCCAATTAATAGTTTACACTGGTTTTTATTGAGCTGTCAAAGTGATGGAGAGCCTGCTGGTGGTGAACTCCGCCACTGCCTGCGCTCTGCCTTCGCCCTGAATCAGCACTTTGCAGGGCTTTGGAGTCGGGGCGAAACGGCAGGGCTGGGTGCAGACTGCTGATGCTCACAATTTATGGCCGTGATGAGTTTCCTGCTCCCTGAAAACCACACAGTGCCTCGCTGGGGATCAGTGCCCAATTGTGCCGTGCCACTGGTAATAAAGCTTCAGGGGAAAGAAAGGGGAAAGGCTGCACATACCTCCATGCAGGCGCCCACTCAGATTCTTTTTGACAGACATTGAGGGTGGACTGGGCAAAGGGTAGGGGTCAGGGGGAGGAGTGTGATGGGAGGAAGCACATGCAGAGGTGGAGGTGAAACTGTGACCTTGAGATGATATATATAGAACATCTAAATTTAGTCTATGTATAGCTCCAAAATAGACAAATAAACAAAAAAACATTCAACTTAAGGTGATTTACATGATGTTTCATATGATGCTTCTTCCTCCCCCTGATCATAAATGCAGGCCTTAAGCTGTTTGGACTATCATGGACACATTAGGCAAGTGACTTGTTCAATGAGAGTGTCTACCACGCTGAACTGGGCTCTGGTGTTTATGCTGCCGACAGAATAGCAGCTGGGAGGCAAAGAGGGTAATCACTGTTGTCAGCTGTTGGTTAGAGGGCCACAGAGGGCAAAGCCTGTCTGGGGACAGCCATAATTTTTTTATCACAGTGCATAACTGTGTACAGTAAGTAGTTTTAGCACTCCTCTAGACTGATGGATGGATAGTTAGAGGAGAACATTTTACTTTGGCAGGTATGGATATGGGTTTTAATATTAATTAAAGTACTGTGTTGAAACGCAATCAAAATAACAAAGGGCAATAATGCTGACACCACCCCAAAGAAGTACAATATAATAATTAACATTGTAAAGGATACAAATGGACCAGTTCTGTTTCAAAAATATCAAACGAGGTCCCAATTTGCAAAAACAATGCTACTAAAAATATGCTAAATCATCAACCAACCAACACAAAACATTGGTTTATTAAAGGATAATTCCAATTTATTGTAACGTATAAACAAAGTTTTATTTTTATAGTTTTGGCCATTATTCCTATAACTAATAATCATGCTGAACTTCAGTTGTGCTCCCTTTTTGAGCTTTAATTAGGTTGTTTTTGGTAATATGGCTAAACTGTTGTCAGGTTGTAAACAAGAACCTGTATCAGCAATTACTTGAGTACAACGTTATCACAATACAGTGAGTAACAATGGACAAAGCTTTGCATATAAGACTCAAATAATAATAAACCTAGGTCTTCTGCGTCAGCTGTGTGCATATTTTCATATTGTTAGAAGACTTGAAGATGTGGCTATATTTATTCACAGTGGCAATATCTTTACACAGCACTCTTCTTCCATGCAGCATCTTCTTTTCTATATTGAAAATCACTTCCTCTTTACCCTTGTATGCTCCAGCCCCCCCCATCACCTCCTCTCTACATCTAGAAGCATATGGAGTCTATTTTTATGCCTTTCCATCAGAGTTCCCTGATTTTCCTGAGATTGAATCCTCAGCCAGATAATGCCTGAAGGAGGCCTGTCCTGTATAGGTCCATTAGGTTCTACAGCTCTTTGCAGGGGAAGTGAAGTGTGGGAACTGTGATGTATATGGCACGGAGGTTGCACAAGTGCAGTGTTTTCAGATGACCTTACCTATGCCTGTGGCCCTAAGGTTCACTACTGCTACGTACGTTCATGCAAGCACACAATTGTATCAACAACAACACATGTACAAGAAGAAGACCAGGATCTACTGAATGCCTGTCAGCACCAATACAGGGTTTCTGTATTGTTTAAATGACCATACCTCATCCTTTTATGAGGGCAATTTCATTGGGACCATTTCTTAATTCCCAGCTAAATTCACAACTGAATTGTAAAATGACTTGCCAGTGTAAGCGAATAATATTTAAATGCCCATTACCTCTACATAATAGGATGTTAAATGCAGACGTACACTACCCATTAAGGTCTCAGGACAAAGAAATGACCAGATTCTTAGTAGTCAGACAGCAGTATCTCTCTGACAACTGAAATGATTTCTCTCTGTCTTTGGACAACCTCAACCTTCAATCCTCTTTACCTCCGTACTACTGTTCATTGAGAATTTTAGCACCACCTTCAGATTCAATATTTTTCACTCTTTCTAATTAGCTTGGATTTTTAAGCCTTTTAATCAAACTAAAATAGCTCTCCATCTCTCTGCTCTGTGCATCCATGTGGGAAAACGGGGCAAATCCTGTAGAATGAAGTTGGTTTTGCATATGGTCATGCAGGTTTTGATTCCCCTCACTTAGGGGTCTAACCACCATCAGTTCCTCTCTAACCCTTTATCTGGATTCAAAATAAGAAAGTAAGTGTAATATCATCAGAGCCACTAGTCCTGCCCAGCCTGTATTTCTCAAGGCTGTGTGTCCACTGGTGCTACTACAGAAGTTGTAATCAGAGCCTCATCTTTAAAAGCTCTCCCTGGTGCACTTTAGATTGAGGTCAGTTAAGGCTGCATAGCACTGCAATCTGAATCCCCAGTTAAACACATTAGAGGTCTGCCCTGCTCCCTCCTACAGATGCAGCTACTGTAAGATAAGATAGCAGCATGCTAACTTTGTTTAAACAAAATGTGAGTTGTCTGCGGATTTGAACTTACAGGTGGGGTCCTATCAAAGAGTTTTTAAAGTTTTTAAAATGTTCCAGTAGAGAGAAGAGTGAATAATAGCCTTATTTTGAACAAATACTCCTCTCTGATTGTATTTGTATATTACAAACCTGTACCTTTTAAACAAAGATATGGAAAACATATTGCATGGCAAGTGGCCAATAGGGTCCCAGTAAACTGTTTTTGTGGTAAGCCACCCAGGTCTTGATGCATCTTGGCTTTTAGTGAGTAGATGATGGCCAAAGCAATGGCTACGCTCATTAAACATTGGGCATTTGCTGTGTAAAAAAGGTACCTTGGCTACTTTTCCCTATAAGGTAAAATTTTTTATTCCACAAAAGTGTTTTAACTTTTATGTTAGCCGAGGTATTCTTCGTTTCAGGCAAGGTGACCCACCTCCACTTTAAATTAAACAAATGAGATTATGTTTGTGATGATTGATAGCCAGTATCATATGGAAGTGGGATTAGTGGTAGTTTTCTCAAAATGAAGCCCATAATTCCCATAAAGCTAATTTCTTTCTGTCACTAATTTTGTTAATTCTTGTCCCCATTCCTCATCCAGAGTCAGGTTCCACATATAAAAAGGTTAATTACTGGATTAAAATGATGTCCTGAAAGACCAGGTCCTGTACTCCAAAGCAATATTCCTAGGTATTGTAAAGCAATACAACATGTTTCATAATAAATCAAATTTATTTTTATTCAAATGTGAAACGCAGTGCTGAGCCCCATAGAGGTTGAAATATGATAAAATGTCACAAAATGTATTCTTAATTGGAGAGCTGTAATGGGAACAGTATTACGATAATTTGATTTCTGGTCCAGTCTCTGTTGAGTTTGCATGTTGTCATTATCTTTACACGGGTACACAGATTGGATCTAAGTCCTGTAGGAAAGACAAGGCAAAGAGGAGGAGACATTTTATAAATATAATAATATAATATTATAATATAATTCTAATAATAAATATTGTCATGAATGTCACAACTGAGAAGTGGCAGAGAATGCAGGCTTGTGTCCTTCCCTTACTGTACATTGTTGCGCTGGTCAAATCATTATCGATCCTTTCTGTTGTTATTACCTGAGCTGCATCTGTCTTTCTCCGCAGGGATCTTATAGTTGCACATGATGATCACCTTTTGAGTCTGAGCAGTATGTGAGAGTGGGTGTGTGTGTGTGCATACATGAATGTGGGAAGTCTTGTATGTGTATTACGTGTGTGTGTATCTGTTAATGTCTGTATGTTGTGGTTTGTGGTGTCCTCACTGGTCCCTCTTGCTGTCCTCTCTTGTGTATGTACGCCCTTTCCCCCCACCTTACAGGAGATTTGGATGGCCATTGGTGGGACCATGCGTCTTGGCATAGCAGCGAGGCCTCCCCAATGTCTTTGGTGAGACATGTGGAGCCCTGCCTTGAACCCGCCCCCCTCCCTCCTGCCCCTTAACCCCCATCTCTCTCTCCCTTCTCTCTGTCTCTCTCCTCCCCCCATCCCTCCCTTCTCCCAGAGTCTTTTGTCATTTCATGTTTCCTTCGTTTTATTTACACCTTTGCATGTTGTTTTTCTGTTTTTCTTTCTGTTTTTATCCCACACCTGTAGGGGACAGTCAAAGGGGAAAAAGAAAAACTATTGAGCAGACATTTATGTCCGAGCCGACACACACCTTATCTGAGAGGCAAAAGAAAATGGTGCGCTTTGGGGGACACTCATTTGAAGAGGACTTGGCATGGTGTGAACCGCAGGTTAAAGACTCGGGAGTTGATACGTGCAGTAGCACTACCCTAAACGAGGAGCATAGCCATAGTGAGAAGGTACTGAGACAATCTAGCCTGCATTTTGTTATTATTATTTATGACCTACCCATCCAGTCTTTGTTTGCTCTCTGTCACTAAGTGTAAATAGGTGAGATGTTTGTTTTTTGGATTTTATTTGACGTTGTATAAATTGATTTCTCTTGCGATTTCGTTCCTTTTTGTTTTTCGGTTTTGGCTCCACCTTGCTCGGTGTTGCCGAAAAAGTCTTTTGGGGGCACCCTCTTTGCTTGCTACTTGTACTTGCTGTTTTGCTCCCCAAACAGAAGCTACACATCTTACAGTAGTTGTAAAAGAAGAGCATTGACACACAACCTCTCTGTTTGTCATGGCACACAGGAATGTGGGTCTCTCCTAGTTGCATGCTCGTTCTCCTCCGTATGTTGTGTTCTTGCTCTGCAGCGGTCCTGTTTAGTGCAGTTGGAACACTTTTACTCAGGCCCGTCCCTCTCACTCTGCTGCCCTACCCCACAGCACACAGTCCAGACAGAACCCGCCCCCTGCCCAACTTTCCACTCACTTTTATAGGAAAACCCAAATGATTGTAAGCACACAAAACAGGGAAGACTGGATTTGTTTTGCACAAAAAATTAAAACATTTGTTTTTCTTTTTTCCCTTTCACTGCGCGTCTGTGATTTCACCCTAATCTGTGTGTCATGGCTTTATTCTGTGCTGTCTATATTTCATCCCTTTTGATCTCTGAACTGGCACCTCATGGTTCACTTCATTTGTTCTTGTATCTTGACCTTTTTTCCCCCTTTTCACTGTCTGCTTTCCCCTCACTACTCCACTTGATGGTGGTTGTATGTTTGTGTGTAGTGAAGCACCGGAGTGAGGCTCCGGTCTTCCTGCTCCAGTTTGAAGAGCTGGTTTGAGGAAGAGTGTTGGGGCTGCTTGCTTTACTCTGCATGGGGCGCTGCATGAAGCTCACTCCACCCTCACACTGGCAGGTTCACACAAGCTCTGGAAAAAACACTCAACACTACTTGTGTTGTCCATGATCAGTTTAGGCATTTAGTATTCTATCTTTTAAAATTTAAATCATTAAGCATGTTGCTATGTAAAAAAAAAAACAGAGTTTGTGTGAACTTTCTTTCCTGAGTGAATAAATACTTTGCCCATGCCCCCCTTTTCACTATGGACAGCTGTCTGCTTTGGTCTAAAGTAATCAAATTTGAGTGGATGAGTTGTTAAACAAAAGGTGTGTTGTTGCTCTGACCTTGTAGCACCCGGTGACGTGGCAGCCGTCCAAAGATGGGGATCGCCTAATAGGGCGTATTTTACTCAATAAGCGCATGAAAGATGGAAGTGTGCCTCGAGACTCAGGAGCTCTGCTTGGTCTGAAGGTGAGCTCATAATGACTCTGTCTACCTGCCTGTCTGTGTCTGAAGGTACGATGCAAGCAAACATCCAAATACTGAACATTTCCTTCCAGCTGTAGCCTCATCATTCTACTTCCAATATAGCATGTTATATGTTGGTAATAGACTTCAGTTGATATCAACATCATACACAGGAATTCTGGGGAAGTTTGACAGGTACAGGTGACTATCAGTGTTGTGTTTTCTGAACATTTATGTTAATATATGGTATAATAACTAATAATAATTCTACTAATTTTAGCCTCTTTTTTTCTGTGTGTGTGGCTCGTTGATTTTCTGCTTGGCTTCCAATTATTGATTACACCATAGTGCTACTCAGTATTAATATTCATTAAAGACTTGATTATGTTCCTGATGAATATTAATGAGCAGCGTTTGATATTGAGCTGTATAATTTTCTGAACTCACTCACATTTAAGTACTTTAATGAACTGCATTCAGCAAGTCAGTCCAGATCCAGTCAGTAATGTCAATGCCCACATTTGACAGTTGAACTATTATTTGTTTTGCACAGTTATTGTAGTGTTTACATGTTGAATAATAGTATCACAGTTACCTACTTATTTAAATGTTATTCTTACTGTGTGTGTTTTTCTTATTATCTTATCTGTATAAGTTACTTCGGTTTACTTCTGGCTTAGGTCATCTTCTTGCTTCACAAGATTTAAACCTTTAAGTCAGTTTGTTATTGCACTGTGGTCACTACATTGACCAAAGCGTATAAAAGATTTTCTCTTGTTGTAAATGCTCTGGTTTCCCTTCCCTTTTCACGGTTGCATAAATCTGTAGGTGGTGCACACTGGTTTAAAAAGCTGAGCAACCAAAGTCCCAAGGAGCATGGTGGGCCATGAAGAGAGAGAACAGAGAGTGGCAAGATGGGGAAAAATCATTACTGATTGAATGAACCTCCTGAAATGGCATGTTTGTGTCTACTCAGTGCCTCTGTGCGTTTCTGTCCGCTCAGCAGCAGCCAACCAACTCGGCAATACAGCCAGTCAGTCCATCAGTCAGGCTGCCAGCCTCGCCCTCACTGTCTATCTCTCTCTCTCTCTCTTTTCCTCTGCAAGCCTCCTTCTCTGGCTTCTGCCTGTTACATAAAGCCATTTCATTTAGCAGACTTCCCTAAGCTTCTTTGTATGTTGGCATTCAGCTGCCATTAAGAGGGATTTTTATTTGTATGATGCCCATGTAAGCTGAGCAGAGTGGAGTACAGCAGCTCAGGACTGTACAGTACAGCTCTAGCCCACAGGCCTGCACTGTTACAGAATCACAGAGCAGCACCAGAGTGTGTTCCTGGGGAACAAAGCACAGCCCTGGACATTTAAAAAAAAAACAGAGACGCACTTCTACCATTGACCCCCTCCTTGTAATGCTTTTATTGAGGATTCAGACCTTGCAGGCAAAAGCTAAAGCCATGACAAAAAATCAGTGTTCTTCTGCAAACTGCAGTGCACATGATACAACTTTGTAGGCTTTGTCATGAAGAGTTAGCATGACACAATAAGGCAGCAGTTATAATGAATCACTAACAGTTCAAGTTTAGTTTAAACATGTATTTCAATGCTAATCCAGTCACCTCTCTGCTTCTGCAGGTGGTGGGAGGCAAGATGACAGAATCTGGTAGACTTTGTGCTTTTATCACTAAAGTGAGGAAAGGAAGTCTAGCAGACACTGTTGGACACCTCAGACCAGGTATTAAAACACACACACACACACCACTTTTATATAGACATTTTTTTAAAATTTAGTGGATGTTGTTGTTGCTGTTCAATATTGCTTCTGGAGGTGAATAATGATGTGTATTTTCCTGCAACCACGAGCAGACAGCCTCGCATCAAAAGATTAAAATATTCCATGTGACATTGGAGTATCTCTGGTGTTTTCACGGTGACCAGGTGCTGGGGAGTGGAATGGGGAAGCTTTGTACGGAAGGGAGCCACATTTAAGAAGTTTACAATATCATACTAGAATCTAAGCCTGAGCGCAAGGTGGATGCTGGTGGTCTCACGGCCTATAGGGGTGAGGCTGCAGTCACTGTCACACCACACTATATTACCTCTTTCACAAGACCAGTTGGGTCGGAGGTTACTTGACAGCTAAGAATGCAATTGGATGACCAGTGGTGTTAGGC